GTAGTACCACGACCATTCCTATTAATAAAGAGATGTGGTACTTCTTACTGCTATATGTACGAGGTTGAGTTAAAGAACTCTTAATAAGTTCATAGCCTTAATATATAAAGGTGGTTTGTGGCAGAGTACAGTACAAACTTGATGAACTTACCTATGTGAATGTGGGGGTTACACCTAATCCCCTATGAGGTTCTAAAGGCTAAGACCTCTAGAGCATTCATGAAAAATCTAGGCAAATGTGGGGCATTTTTAATTTCGTGAGAACACCTTTGATTTGAGAACAGTTTAGTACGCAACTGTATTTTACAAACTTCATGAAAGGTTCAAGGCGAAGTCCACCCGACATGACTGTAGAATATGATTGTAAGTACTAGGTATCAATTCAAGTCCACAAAACATTGGTACTTGTAAAACTAAATATCTAATGCTCAATTTCTTTATCTTCATCATTCTTTTGAATCATGTGGGGGAATGTTGGATTTTTGGTAGAGAACTCCAAATAAATTGTGATTCAAAAGAATTAATGTCCCATTTTTCAAAGGTTGCATTGGTTCCTAAAATTCAGTTGGTTCCTTGAAATATGCTCAATTAGTCAATCGTTTTGGTCTTAATTGGGGGATTTTAATATTAACCATTTTTCTATCTACATTGTTGACCAAATTCGTTGTACCTTATTCACTCTTATTCGTGACCAGATTCGTTGTAATTCACACTCATACACTATATAAACATCTCCTTTTGTTCCTTTCTAAACACAGAAAAAAGTGGGAATTTATTCTCTCTTACGATTATTCTTCATGACCTCCTTTTCTATTTAGCATTGTTCAAAGGTGTTTTCAATCTAACTCTCCATAATACACCGAAGAGTTGGAGTCGTGTAACCCTGGAGATCGATTGCTATGAGTCCGCGTGTACATGTGATTTATTGTCACGACACGACATTTTTCAGATAAGTCGTTTAATTATCTTTATAGCTATTACTCATATTTCCTACGGTTTGAACTTAACTTAGGCCCCGTTAATCTGCTCTGCTCTGTTTTAATCTGTCCTGCTCTGCTCTTTAAAAGTTTCATAATATCAAATTCTAGGGTTTTTCTACATTATAACCCTGTAACTTTCCGTTTTCTACGATGTGCCCCCCCTTTTTGAGAAATCCACATTGTAACCCCAAAATACATTCAGTGTCTATACGGTAACCTTGCCGTTAACAAATTCCGTTAGTGGGGCCCACTCACCCGTTAATAATAATTTTTTTTCGATTTGCATATTGAAAATGGTTCTGTTAAAGGTTTTGGGGGCTATTTTGGCCCTTTAGGGTCCAAATTGAACTCAGATTTAGCAAAAAAAAAACATAAATACTTCGTTTTGCGTATTTAAAAATGTCTCGATTTGTGCGTTTACGTATTTAATGCGCAAAACGAGGTATTGATGTTTTTTTTTTTGCTAAATCTGAGCTCAATTTGAACCCTTAAGAACCAAAATAGCCCCCAAAACCTTTAACAGAACAATTTTTAACACGCAAATAGATAAAAAATAATTTTTAAGTGGAGAGTCGGTCCCACTAACGGAATTTGTTAACGACGGGATAATGGCAAGGTTACCTTATAGAAAGTAAATGTATTTTTGGGTTACAATGTAGATTTCTGAAACATGAGGGGCACATTGTAGAAAATGGAAAGTTAGAGGGTTGTAATGTAGAAAAACCCCAACTTTTAATAATTTTTTACTGATATTTAATTATATGTATTTAAGGTCAAATAACTACATTGACATTGTACTAAGTTTGACTTTGTCAATTATTCTGATATGAATAAATTATTTGTTTAGGAAAATTTGCAAATTGCAGTCATTTAAAGTTCGTATTTTACAAATTGCAGCCATTTAATTGTTTTTTTTTTTGCAAATTGCAGCCCAAAAGTTCATATAAATTGTAAATTGTAGCCTGATTCAATTTTTTCATCGGTTTACATGTTGAAAAATCTTCGGCTAAGGTTTTAGGGGTCATTTTAGTTCTTAGGGGTCCGAATTGAGCTCGGAATTAGCAAAAAAATAACAAGTGTCTCATATTTACAGTTTCCCACAAATCGATACACTTTTGTTACCTAAAATTATACACACACACACACACACACACACACACACACACATATATACACACACACACAAATTTTTGTATGTGGCTGGCCACACCACAACTCTTCTCTCTCCTCTTTTCCTATCTTCTTCTCTAAGCCAAACCACACATCACCAACAACCATATCTCTACTCTACCCATTTTCTCTCTCCTCTTTTCTTAGCTTCATCTACAAACCAAACCACACATCACCAACTACCATATCTCTACTCCACCCATTTTCTATCTCCTCTTTGCCAAATTGCTGCAATTAAAGCCCAAAATTGTAGAAATTGTATGTCAATTTGCTTTGAAAAATTGTGATTAATTATCCTTAAGATTATCAACAACATTTGAATTAGTGAAATCTATGAGAACCAAAGAAATGTGAGCTCGTTTTCTTCGTGGAATCTTAAAACGAATATTCTACGTCAAAAATTGTAGGGTGTTACTAGTTTTGTCAGGGTGTTACTGGTTTTGTCAGGGGTTACATGTAAGGTGTTACTGGTTTTGTAGGGTGTTACTGGTTTGGTCAGGGGTTACATGTAAGGGTACTTGTAGGGTGTTACTGGTTTGGTCAGGGGTTACATGTAAGGTGTTACTGGTTTTGTAGGGTGTTACTGGTTTTGGTCAGGGGTTACTTGTAGGGTATTATTGGTTTTAGTCAGGGGTTACTTGTAGGGTGTTACTGGTTTTGATCAAGGGTTACTTGTAGGGTGTTACTGGTTTTGATCAAGGGTTACTTGTAGGGTGTTACTAGTCTTTCTCAAGGGTTACTTGTAGGGTGTTATTAATTGGGTTAGGGGTTACTTGTAGAGTGTTACTAGTTTAGCTCAAGGGTTACTTGTAGGGTGTTACTGGTTTGGTATGTGGTTTACAATCAACCCTTGAATAAGTGACAAGTAACCCTTGAATAAGTAATTCATACAAGTAACCTTTGAAGTAAATCATACAAGTAACCCTTAAATAAATAACTCATACAAGTAACCCATGAAAAAAAATAATACAGGTAACCCCTGAAAAAAAAAATACAAGTAACTCTTGAAAAAAAAGGTACAAGTAATAACCCCTAATTAAGTAATCCATACAAGTAACCCCTGAATAAATAATCCATACAAGTAACCCCTAAAAAAAATACAAGTAACCCCTGAATAATACAAGTAACCTCTGAATAAGTAATCCATACAAGTAACCCTTGAAAACAAAATACAAGTAACCTCTGAAAAAAAAAATACAAGTAACCTCTGAAAAAAAAATACAAGTAATCTCTGAAAAAAAAATACAAGTAACCCTAACAAAACCAGTAACCCCGATATACGAGTGAACAGTAACCCCGTTATACGCGTATAATCCGTTATTTTTACTGAATTGGCAGCAGGCCACACCGTGTGGCCTGCTGCACCAAAAAAGCTCTTATATATATATATATATATATATATATGTATATATATAAGTTTACATGCATATTGAAACTAATCTAAAAATGTAATACATGACTTATTTAAATATAATCTTTTAAATGGAATTAATTATTTTAAAATTTTATTAGAAATGAGTATTAGATTATCACTAACTTTCACATGTGGTTGACACGTAAGTGTTATAGAGGTTACGTAGTTAGAAATATAGGGTTTACTTTGTTGTTTAAGGGTTACTTGATCGTATAATAAGGAGAAATAGTATAATATCCTAATAGGCGTTACCATGTTGGTGTTATAGGGGTACCCGTTTTTTTTTTATTTTTATTTTTTTATTTTATTATTATTTATGTTATTTACGAGGGGCTATAGACGGTGTACATTATAGCGGATAAAGTAAGTATTTTATTTTATTTTATTTTATTTTTCTTAAAAAAATCTATTTAAAAAGAAAATAAAAATTTATCAAGTTAAATGATAAAGCTGTTGTACTACGTATTAAATATGTATGGACCCCATATTCATTGAAATAATTACAAAAAATATCATGGTAACTTGACATTGTGGTTACTTAATTTAAAATTTTGCCACTTATAAGTAAATTTGATAAATTGGGACTTTCTCGTTTTTAAATTAGAAGAATATCACATTTTTTTTTTTAATTACTACACTTCTCCAATGTTAAAACTTTTGCTTTTTATAATTATATTTCTCATCTCCCTTGGATGTTTCATTATATTTTTCTCCTATCATAGTTTTATTATTTCTCTCATCTTATACACTTTATTTAATAAATCATTAATACATTATCAAGCTCTTACTAAACTTAATTCGCCAGCAAACCTTATTTGCATTATTTTAGGCCATACAAAATCATTAACTTTTATTTTATTTTATTTTTTTTAATTTTTCTCCTCTTCCCTACTTTGTTATTTACTAAATCATTGATACATTATCAAATCTTATTTGTATTATTTAGGCCTTACAAGATCATTGGGTCCAACACCAATTTTGTGGAAATATGAATGCAAAGTACAAATGAAAACCGTTGGAAATAAAAAATACTGCATATCAAACTAGAAAGAATCCATGCCTTTTATAGGCTAAAAAGTAACTGAGAAAGCAAAGTGAAAACAAGTTAGCTTGCAGTCTTGCACTACCTAATTACTTGGGGTAGTTGTTCAAGTGCCCATAATTGTAGCTCACTACTACTATACTACTACTAAACTTATTAACCTGCTTACTAAGACTTAATAACTAATTACTTTGAAGCACTAACTTTAACAAGGAGAAGTGGAGATATGATATGAGCAACTGATATTTTTTTTTTTATATTACAAAATTTTCTAATTTAATACTGTGGACTATAATTATAGAATTTGTGGTCTTGATCAATAGATTATGGTGGCCACGGCTACAAAATTGAGCTTTTGTAAAATTGCTTAGAATCATTGGTCATTTTATTGCAGGGCAGTAGCAGACTACATTTCGAAGGATCTTCCTTACAAACTATCAGCAGATGACATTCACCTAACCGCTGGTTGCAAACAGGCAATTCAGCTGGCAATAACTTCTCTTGCTACTCCTGGTTCAAACATCCTACTACCCAAGCCAACTTTCGCTATGTATGATGCAGCAGCTGCATATACAGGCCTTAAAGTCCAGCAATATGATCTTCTTCCAGAAAGAGGATGGGAAGTTGACATTGACTCAGTTGAAGCTCTAGCGGATAGCAATACTGTTGCCATTGTGGTGATTAATCCTGGAAATCCTAGTGGAAGTGTCTACACTCGCCAACATTTACAGAAGGTGTGCACTTTTGATCAAAACTGATTGCATTCTTGTGCTACTTACTATGACTTAAGTGACATGTTTCGATATCTCCATTCAAAAATCTATGTGGTGGATCTGACGCATAGCACAATACCACAGTACTTTCCCAACAGAAGCCATATGCCCATAATGCGTCACTTAATATCTTGTTTTCTTTTGTTTAGGTAGCAGAAACTGCAAGAAAGCTTGGGTTACTTGTGATTGCTGACGAAGTGTATGAACACATCACTTTTGGTACCAATCCCTTTGTTCGAATGGGAGAATTTGCGTCCATTGTGCCTATGCTTACAGTGGGATCTCTCTCTAAGAGGTGGCTTGTTCCTGGCTGGAGACTTGGCTGGCTTGTCACAACTGATCCAACCGGCTTCCTACAAAAATCTCAGGTTGTCTCCTCTTCTATCTTGTTCGTTCCAGACCTTTTCTCTTCATTATATATTGGTAAATTTGATTTGAAACTTCTACTCTCATGTTGTATTTCATTTCAGAATTCTGATATTCCAGTATATACTTGTATTAATATACTCTCTTCATGATCACTTTGACAGAGGTTTAAAGCACATACCAGTGTAGAGTATCATGCAAAACAGAATTCCTTGGTTTATGACTTTTACAGTGTTTGGATAGAACTTTTGGAAGGAAAGAGAGGGGGGGGGGGGGGGGGGGAAGGAAGATGAAGGAAGGGGAGGGGTGAAGAAAACAAAATCCCTCTTTTGGATAACAGGGAAAAGGAAGGAAAAGAGAGTGAGGGAATTTGCTTGTTCTTGTTAATTTTATCCATGGCTACATTAATGTGTTTGTTCTTGTGATAATATGAATTGAAGTTCTCAAATTTTCAAAATCAATAATTCACACATCAAAATTTCAAAATATAAAATTCTGGAAATATAAAATTCTTACATACTTCCTCCGTTTTTTCTTTTATTGCACCACAAAGACTTTTACACTATTTAATTAAACTTCTTTGACCATCTTTTGTATTTTATATATTAGGAAAAACATAGTCATGTGGGATCTAGTTAGATTCGTCTTGAAATCTACTTTTCAAATATCAATTTTTTATAATTTTACAAAAGTATAATTAAAGATATTAATAGCCAAAGTAATGCATTGACAACCGTGAAACCTCTCATGGTGCAATAAAAAAAAGAATGGAGGAGGTATTAATTTTCCAAAATCAAACATTTTGGAAATCAAATTTTCTTCCCTGTAATTTTCCAAAACGAAATTTTCTGAAAATTGATTTTGAAATTAAAACCAAAATTTCTGAAAATCGATTTTCGAAAATCAAAACAAATTTCTGAATGTTGGTTTTAGAAATAGAAGACCGCATTTTCTGATAATTAAAACCAAAACCTTTTTTTTTTTCCAGAAAATCAATTTTTGAAGATCATAATCAATTTGTAAATCAGATTTCATTATCAATCGATTTTTGTGAATCAAAACCAGATATGGCGGTGATTGTAGCGGTGGAAATGGCGGCGGAAGATGGCGACAGGTGGTGGAGACGACAAACAGTAGCAAGGTGGAGAAAATAAAAACCAGCTTCCTTCCAAATCTTCTCTAATTTGGAAAGATTTGTTTCTTAATTGTGAAAGAAAATAATTTCCTTCCATTTCTCTTCCTCCAATTCCCTCACTTCCCATTTTGCTATCCAGATGGAGGAAAACTCATCCCTTCCTTTCCCTTCCCTTCCCTTCCCTTCCTTTCATTTCTCTCCATCCAAACAAGCTGTAATCTTGGCAAATTGTTGGAGCTTCTTAATATTGATTATCTGAATTGTACTTCATGTCTTATTTTCTTTTGTTTTATTTTTTCTTGTCAGTTTATAAAGCGCGTTAGAGACTTTATCAGCATAAGTCCTGAACCTGCCACATTCATTCAGGTTTGCCCCTCCTATCATTTTTTCCCCTATTGCATATTAATATGATCAAGTATTTTTCATTTCATGATTCATTAGCATTTTCTATAGCTAAGAAAGTTCAGAACTTAATAGATGTCATTCCATTCAGTTAATTAGATCTTCGAAACAGCAGTTAGGTATTACCATAGCACCTAGGGTAGAGTTTGACACCTTTCTACATCACTATCCTTGCAGGCTAATCACAAATAGATTAAAAGAAATGTGAATATGTTATTTGATTAGTTTCCTATATACTTGTATGTCTATATGGGATTTGAGTGTAAGGTAATATACTTGTTTCTTAAGGTATGGTATGACTTGAGTAGTTGAGTACGAGTTAATCAAGTTCTTGCATATGTAAAATCCGAATATTTGTAATCCTCCCTATCTATGAAACCAAACATATCAGCAACTTTGTAATTTAAAAAACAGATGTTACACACTTGCACTACATTCCTAATAATATCTGTGATCCAGCTGAAGCTAATTTCTAACTCATATCATTTGTATCCTTCATCAATTGACTAGCTTTTTGTTTATTGACAAAATTCTTGCTTATTGTACAAAATTCTGGATTCTACTCGTAACAAACGAGATAAACATCACATAAATGAATAGCCTTTGAATTGTCTGTTTCAATGTTCAATTGTTTAAATATTATACTACTAGACAGAAATTTGATAAATGATGACTATTGTCACTTGAGCATAACAAGGATTGTGATTTGATCAGGCCGCAGTTCCTCAAATCCTTCAAAATACAAAACAAGAGTTCTTTTCAAAATGTATTGATGTGCTTCGACTAGATGCAGATATTATCTATGAAAAGCTCAAGGAGATCCCTTGCATTACATGTCCGAGTAAGCCGGAAGGATCCATGTTCATAATGGTTAGTAAATCATATTGTTCGTGTATGATTTCTCGAAACCTTGAGTTGATGATTCTTAACAAACAACCACATTTTCAATTGCAGGTCAAGTTAAATGTGTTTATGCTTGATGGCATACTAGATGATGCTGATTTTTGCTTAAAGCTTGCTAAACAGGAGAAAGTGATCCTTTTACCTGGTATGATATGGTCAAACTTCAGATATAAATTCTCTACCTGCTAATTGTCACTTGTTTTACTGTTCCTTCCTCTTTCATAGTACTTCTCTAATTTTTATAAGTTGTGACGTATTATTTACTACCTCCGTTAACTTTTAGCTTTGGAATATTTTATATCTTACAAATAATACCCCAAAGTTGTAACTAAAAGTTACTAGAGGTAGTATTCATTACCTTAAATTCTTAATCATTTATGTCTAAAACTAAAAGTCATTACTTTGTGCAATCTATGTTGCAATGAGGTGAACACCGGTCCAGACTCGGACCGGATCGGACTTGAACCGGATTGGACTTGGACCGGTTTACGCGGACCGGTAATGAACCTGAATCATCCGGTCCAGTTTCCGATCCTAGGTATTTTATGTACACTCGGGGTGAACACTGGTCTAGACTCGGATTGGACCTAGAATGGTTTACGCGGACCGACAATGGACCTGAATATGTAGGTCGGTTTAGGTCCTATTTTCGGTCCAGGGTATTTTATGTACACCCCTATTACATGGGCTAATCATTTTACCTTAATTACCCATGTTGGACTCTTAAACACTTCATTTTTAGTTCAAAATCACGGAATTTTTCACAAAACTAAATAAATTGTAAAAAAATCCTTTTCTATTTTGGTTCTTCTTTTAGGCTACCAATTTTTTTAATAACCATGAGCTAGGATTCTAAGAAATTTCTGATGATCTATTGGAATGTTTATGAATAGGTTCTACTGTTGGAATGGAAAATTGGCTTCGTATAACTTGTGCACTTGATCCATCGGTTCTTGAAGAAGGTCTTGATAGAATAAAAGCATTTTGTCAAAGGAATGCAAAGGCACACTAAGATAGGGGCATCTAACCAACAAGGGTTGGCTCAAGTGGCTTGGTGAGAAGCTTGATGTCGCTTAATGAAGATCTCGGGTTCAAGTATCACTTGTTCAGATACATCATTTACAAATTTATTTTTACGACTAGAATAATATATGGGAAAAAATTGATAAAAATAATCCCAACTTTTACTCGTTCGCTTAAAATAATCCCAAATTTGGATTTTTTTTGAATAATCTGAACTTCATGGGTTGTTCTCTTAAAACGGTCCCAACTGGTCATTCAATCGGTTGTATCATATTTCATGACACGTTGCGCCACATGATTGGTTGAATATAAATAATTTTTTTTAAAAATAAAATTTAAAAAAACCCAGCAACCTGCTCCTGGATCCCCCAACCCACGACAATCCTCTTTACCACCATCCACCTGCCGTGCCCCCAACTATCGTTGCCAACCTTTCCTCACATCGGCGACAACTCCCAAACACTCCGTCCCTCGCGCCGGCGCTTCCCTCCTCATTTCCCCTAAATCACCTAACCTCCATCGCTAAAAAAACTGGACACCCTATAAAAACCTATCCCACCGCACATAACCCCCATATCGACAATCCCCCAGCCTTCGAACCTTAGCACCTAAGCAGTAGGGTTTCGAGGGTGGAGGAGCACCGATTTGTGGGGTTCGTACGGTGGGCTGGGTCTTTACAGAGGTTTCGGGTTTAGGTAAGGTGGTTTTCACGGTGGTGGTTTATGCGGCAGGGGAGTAAACTTTTTTTTTTGGGGTTTCGATTAGGGTAAGGTTTTGAGTTGGTGGTCTGGTTTGGTGGTTCAAGGGGAAGGGTTGTGCCGGAGAGGGGGAGGGGGAGGGGGAGGAATGGGCGCCGCCGAGGGTAGGGGTGGGGATCGGGGTGGGGCTTTTGGGAGGGAGGGCTGCGATGGCTGGGAATTTTTTTATTTTAGTGTATTTTTAATTTTTTTTTTAAATTCAACTTATCATGTAATGACACGTGTCACTCAAATAAAGAAATAAATAAAACCCTTTAATAGATTACCGGTCAAATGAGACTATTTTGAGCGAATGACTCCTAAAGTTCAGATTATTTTCAAATAGGATAAAATCGTCACTATTTGTAGACACCCATTTGTGTCTCCCCAAAACCAAACCCGGTGATGAATACCTTTCACGTCTAATCATAATTAAATGAAGTGAAAGTGTGAAAAGTCTAGTATTGCGGTTAGTTTTTAATTTTTTTTCTTTCTCTCTGTTTTTGTAAACCTATTTTATGAAAAATAGCCAATCCAGTTTAGTTTGGTCAATGGCAAGGGTTCAATAATGTGTAGTTGGATTGGGCTCGAAAAGAGCTTTCCAACAATATATTATAAGCCTAATTCCGATGAATAATGAGGAAGTTATGACCAAATTACTAAACCGGGCCCGGTTTGATCTTTATATGCGGCCCAATGATCTAGAGGAGGGCCTATTATGATTTATCATTCCTAATGCAATTAGGGTTGATTATACTCTTCTAGAATCTTCTAGAAGGTTCTTTTGAATCCTAATGTGATTAGCATTGATGATTGAGTTTTAAGAGTTTTATTTAGAATAAAAGAAGTGTTTTAAAGGAAATTATAGTTTTACCCTTCGCACGTTTAAATTTTCAAAATATGAAAACGCGTGGAAAAACTGTCTGCAGCATCGCACTCTGGCGACAGCCTGGCGTTGCGGCGACACGTCTGTCGCCTGGCGACAGGCTCTATCGTTTTGCGACAGCGTCGTGTTTTATCTTATTTCGGCTCATTTTCGTTATAAATAGCCTCCTTAGACCTTCGTTTTTAATCAACTCTAATCAACTCTCATCAAGAATTTCTTGATACTCTCTCTCTCGCTCTTTTGTAAACTAGCCTTTTCTCAAACACAAAATTCCGCATTCACAAGATCTAGACACACCTAGCCAAATTCGAAGTTGCCTTCGCCCTATATGTGAAAGGTTTGATTTCTGAGGGTTTGGTCCCAAATTTCTATTTCAATTATTTAATTTAATTGTTTAGTAACATGCTAGGGTTTGTTATTAATCTTGTTAGTATCATGCCTAGGATCTTGCTATTATTATGCTTTAGCGTTGATATGATTATTATGATTATAATTATTGTAATTATGATTATTATGTTGCTTGATATATATTTATTGTTATTGCTTGATCATGCCTTTTATGTATGTTTAAAGGGAATTTATACTTGTAATCACGCCTAATAAGATAGTTAATAATCTTGTTTTAGGTTAATATGATTATAATTCAAGTGATCGCCAATAATAATTTTATTTGTACATTAATATTCAACTAACATAGGTAAACAGGTTTAGGGTTAACCAATTGATTGCATGTTAGTCAGAAAGCGCACATGAATACGAGAAGGATAAATTAGAGGACTATTATTAGGGCAGGTTCTTTCTATTGTAAATTGAATTTGTACCTTCATCCTCGAACTTCTAGTCTTGGTTCCAGAACTATTGGAGTTAACGATCTCCTGGATCGTTAAGGGGTGTAATCTTCACCCTGTGAACGATAAACTTGTTGGCAACTCTTTTTCTCTAGCTTCCTTCCCCTTGGATGCCACCATGCTTAAGTGTATAATTACAGTGGGGTTCAAGTTTGGGGTAATGCTTGAAATATTCCCTACACTATTAATTCCAACTTTGTCTAATCCGCCTATATTAATCCCAAATTCAGTTTATTCCCTATCACTCCCAATTTTGTACCCTATTTATTTTTTTCACCCCTAACCAGTCATCCAACCTAATATTACAAGTAACAAGACACGTGTTAGCGTATGATTGGCTTAAAAAAAATTAAATAAATAACTAAAGTTAAAAAATAATATTAAATTAAATAAATAAAATTAAAAAAGCACCTTCTCTCTCCTCCCTCTTCCCCCTTCCTTCTCTGCCCTTTCTGTTTCCTACCACGGCTACCAACATTCAGCCAATAGTCCACCACGCTAACAACACTACCTCCCCTTCCCCCACCTCCGTATCACCACCTCCCTTCCCCCTCCCTGTGCACTTTACGCACTCAACACAGCCGGCTGGCAACTCCACCAACAATAGCCTGTTGCCACCACGGCCAGCCCAACCCCTTTCCCCCCCGGAGCGCCGTGACGGTGCTTCCTTGACCGCCTCCCCTTTCCTCTTCGATCACCACGCAAAACAGCCAAAATCCCCCAAATCCTAATCCCCAAATCCGAAACCATAACTCTAACATCCGAAACCATTGCCATGAAACCGGGGATGTAATCAGCCATGAAATTGGCCACTAACGACAAGGTTTACCTCTTCAACAAGTAATCCCAACCCAACGAAGGTTGAAGATGAGATCAGAGTTTAGAATTCGGTGGTGATCTGTGATGAACGCCTGTGAATTGGCGGCGGAGTAAGCGTGAGTGCTTGGTTTTCACGGGTTGGGTTTGTGGTTTTGGGAGTCGGAGAGGGATGGCTAGGTGGTTTCAAGGGTAGGGGATGGGTGGAGGACGGTCGGTGGTTTTTTGTTGGGTGAAGGAGGTTGGCCGACCGTTTCCCAGTGAAATTGAGGGTTGGGACTGGGAATCTGATTATTTTTTTTTTAATTATTTTGGGAAATTCTATATGGTGGCCTGTTACTTTTTTTTTTCTATGTGGAAGACGATGTTTTTTTCGATTCTCTTAAGCGACACCTAAATTTAATTAATTTGGTTTAAGTGGCCTAGTTGTCATCAAATGGGCTAAGCTACTTCAACATGGTTCATTTTCTAACTTAATTACACAAAAAGACTAATATGCACCTGAATCAATTTATTTCCCACCCCTTTTTAATCAGTTTCCCGCCATATCATCCTCTTCCCCTATATATTCCTTTCCTCTTCCAATTCATAAATTAGGGTTTCATCTCTAATTTGAATCGAAAAAAAAATTCTGACCATGAATTTTCAGGGAGTTTCTTTAAGGAAGAGGGGCGTTTTTTATGGAAGTTTCAACTGGGTAAGGATGATCCACAATTGCAATCCTCCTAAAAACGTCGAGGTTAGGTTTTCTAATTCCATGACCAATCCTAAGAAGCTGTACTACAAATGCAGGGAAAAAAATCAGAGGCTGTGGGTTTTTTGACTGGGTTACTGAAGATGATGTGAGTTTTTATGATGCTTCACCAAATTAAGAGATTGCTGAAATACATAACATGGTGGAAGAACTTTCTTCTTGCTACAAGAGGGCTATGAAAACTGTTTTTTTTTTTTTCATATTAGGGCCTGTTCTCTTACGTTGAAATTCAGTTCAGTTCAGTTCAGTTCAGTTCAATTCAATTCAGTTCAGTTTAGTTAAGCTCAATTCAGTTCAGCTCCTAATTTCCTTCTTTTATAAAATATTCATTTCAGTTCAGCTCAGTTCAGTTCAGTTCAGCACAACTCAGTTCAGTTCAGTTCAGTTCAGTTCAGTTCAGTTCAGCTCAGTTCAGCTGAGTTTAGTCAATGAGAATAGGCTCTTAATAATTTATGTTTTTTTTACATGAAATGATGTACTCAGGGTAATGAAGGAAAGGGGTACAGTAGTAGCAAGTAGGTGAATCTGACTTTGTATGGGTTTTATGAATGAAGTTATGTAATTCAATTAAGTAAAAATAAAACTTGTTTATGGAATTTTCTTTGTCTATTACATTTAATGGTTGTTAATGTATGGTATTTGCTTTGGTTATGGAATATGTTACAAAAACAGATTGAAAAGCAAACTTACACTTCAAATAATCTCTGAAATTCCAGAATTATTAATATGTAAATGATATTGCATATAAATATGAAATCAAAAGCCGGTGGCAATGTCAAAAAACAGGACCAAAAGGGATCTAGTCAAAGTACAAATCACATATATTTCTTAAGGCAAAAACCTAATCAAAGCCAAGCAATTGCACTATCACTTACAAAAAAAAAAAAAAACACCTAATTGAAGACTTAGTTCAACAAGCTACAAGTCACAGGAGAGCTCGGACTTTGTTCTTTCCTTTTGCATTTGTCTTTGACCTAGTAACAGGTTGGCTGCTTGGACCTTCAAATGCTGTATGAGAATGCTGAGTTGTGTTAGTGGAGGGCTCAGCTTGAGAAGCAAACTTCAATGAGCTTCTTGTGAATCTTGTCTTTGCATTTAGTTGTGATGTGGAAGTACTCTGTGCTGCACTTTGTTTATAAGCTTTTTCTGCTGCTTTCTTAGCTCT